GACCCCTTCAAGGGGTTAGCCACGAGAATTATTTTCAATTCTCCCTGTGCTAAAAAACACCCCAAAAATTGGAGTAAATCTATGCACTCAGCTCTTAATGTAGCTACCCGCCTCTATGCAAAATAGACCCACGGGTAGGAGGTTTTTTGTGAACAAAAAATGCCGAGTTGGATGCCAGAAGTCCCAAATTGGTGATTTATGAAAAAATGTCTATAATCGATCCTGATGATGAAACCTCTTATTGTAAAATCCCAATGGGATCACAATATATTTATATTGAGCCTGCGCATAGAAATCAACCCATTTAGTGGAATTCACCCCAAGGTTCTCCATGTATGTTTACAGAACAACAACATTTCAAACAAACCCCTGGAGAATTTCAAAATCAGAGGGCCTCAAAGAGCAAGGCTTTAAAATTACAAGGCATTGATCCCTCAAGGCCAAGGCTTTTGCCCCTCAAGCCTTCATGGCCAAGGCCATAAAATCAAGCCTTAAGGCACCCTTAAGGCCAAGGCTCAGCATCAAGGCACTACATCACTGACACCCACATCTTGAACTATGAACTGCGACATGGCCATAAATCCTAGCACCCTTTGCACAACTGGGGGGGGCTTGGCTTGAGTATGATGAGCTCAAATGTTAACTCCAGTCAGAGCCCCCCCAAAAAAAATCCTTAGTGTGCCACTGGCTCTGTAAATTTACTTTCTTACAATCTTTCCCGCAGAGGCTTTCCTTTTTCAGTTAAGAATTGGTCTGTTCCTTGTTTCCTGTGATGTCTGCTTAAGTGTAATAATGTATTCAGTAACATAGCAGATTATTTCTGAAGGCCTGGAGTAGTCTATTCTGCTTGAATGAAAACAAACTTTTTGCTGCCTTCTGGAAAGGCAGAGATTTTATTTTCCTTCAGGTAAGGAAAAGAAAGATTTGCAACTTGTTACGAGAATTTTAATGCTGAATGGTTTCTTTTGTTTTGCTGTACTGTACATATGGAAGAGATTAAGATTGTCCAATTCTTTTTTATGAATTATAATGATTTGTTGTTTTAAATTCTGGAATGGAGCTGCCTCCAAAATAGTGAGTTCACTCAGCATGTTGAATCTGGCAAAATCACATCATAAAATGGAAATAAGTGTCACATTTTGAATAAATGGAATATTGTCATATCCCTGCAAGTATGATCAGCTCATGATTTTGAGTAATAAATTGACAAATTCCTTTGATGTTTTTCTCCCTGCTAAAGTAAAATTATGAAAGGAACCAGCAGTTGTTATAAACAAAAATTGCGCCTGTCGGTCTTCTTTTAGAAGGTATTGTACAAATTATTGGCCTATGAAAATTGCAATGAAAGCTCGTGGACTTGAAGCGGAACTGAGCCCTGAGGTTTATTTTTTTTTTAGGCCATGTTTGTTGCCTGCCTGAATATCAACAGAGGGCAGTGTGCGTAAATAAAACTTTGTGAAAAGTACATGAGTCTGTCCACTTACATGTATGTTAAGGTTGCAGTTGCAGACTATTAAGTGAGCTGCCATGCACAACACTGATAAATATTCTCATGTCAAAATAAAATCAGGGAAAATTCAAATTCCAGAGGTATTGAAGATGCCCATCAAATTCAGTTTCTTTTGGGGAGTCTCATTTTTTGTTTAAGTTCTAGTGGGTTGACCCGTGATTTATGAAGATATTTCTATCCACACATCCTAAAAAATGTTGTGAGCTGTTTGGAAACTTGGAGGGCCCTATATTTTGTCTACCGCTTCCACCCATCTTTTTTTAACAAACTACCCAATCCACACACCAGAAAGTGATCTGCCTAGAGCTCGAGTAGAGAATTGCCTATTTACTGGCCTCCAACCCTGAAAAAAAATGGATGAGGTAGGAGTGATATACGTAGGTACTTGGTCAGGGTAAAGAAATGTGTAATCAAGCTTTAGTACCAACTAGAGGTGGCATTTTCTAATTTTGGTTCCCGATAGATGTGGTAGTATCTTGAACTTCTTACAGTAAAAAAAAATGTGTTTACAGCAAGGAAACAGCTTAGATCGAGCTTACCCCAGACTGTTTTGAAGCTTCCATGATAATTTATTTCTTCCTCCCCCCTCTGCTCTGTTACACTTGACACTGCACCTGTTTTTCTGTGTTGCTGAATATGCATGATGAAAGCGGATTACTTACAAGGAAGTAAAAATGTTAATACTACTGATAATAATCTCAAAAGGTTAAATATATATATTTTAGTCCCGTAGAATAAAGCATTTAAGACAGGATTTGCAGGTGGGGGGGGTCTTCATGGAATATATCCATTGAAGATTATCATCTCTTGTCCTGGACAGACTGAAATTGTTTCTGTACAGTTGCATTTGCAAATAAAGTCAGGTTGGTGGAGTGGTTCTTTCCCGGCTTGGTCCATGTGTGAATTGGGTTTTCAGTCCCTACCTGACTTTGTGGGTTTTAACCAGAAAGATCTTCTGGGATTTCGTCCCACCTCTTAAACTAACTGTTCTCCGCAGATTTCTTCAGGCTTGAGAGCTATAGTTCCTAGTGCACTTTTAAGGAATCCTGTGTTTCATTAACCAGAGAGAATCGTAATCGACTTCAACTCATGCATGACAGAATTGTTCAAAGTAACTTTTCCAACCCAAATTGAAATCGTAGGGAAAATGCGGTTGGGCCATTGAGTTGCGGGGGTTGAGTCAGGTACACTCAACGCCTCGTGATGTGTTGTTTACAAACAGAGGGCGCTGTTCTTCGAACGAATGTGACAATGACATCATCGTACAGTACAGCTGCAGAGTCGAGTACTGAGCATGAGTACGGGTACATTACACATCTTTGCACTGGCATGATACGGATGTGCAAAGAAAAAAATGGCTACGATGCTTGCCGTGCCTCTGAAAAACAGCGCCGAACTAGACTTCGTTCGGCCCCTCAAGAATTTTATCAGAAACACCTTTGGGGGAGAAGACGAAAGCAATGACTACACCAGTCAGCTGGACGAGCTGCACAGGCTGCGAAATAATGCCGTGTGTCGAAAACTTGATAAACACAGCGCCTCTCTCGAAATCCTCGCAAGGTGCGTTTCGGTCTAGGCCTACTTTTCTTTGGTCCATTTCCCGGACAGTACAATGTTAACTCTTTCCTCCTTTTTAAACAAGTCGTTTAAATACCACATGTGATCCTTTTGAAGCTAAGATCCTGTCCTTAAATCTGTGAGTTTATGATGTATATTTGTAATTTTATTTCCTCATCTATCAGAAACTTTGGAATTTCTATTATTCAAAATGAAAGTGACTGACCCCTTTCCATTGGAACTCCAGGTTTATAGGTCTCTCTCAAATGCCATCACTTCCTATAGATTGCCGTGTGCATCAGCATTTTTTACTTCAAATATTCGTACTTGGATCAACAGGCACGTGTGTAGAACATTTGCACGCTGCGCATACAAACACCTGTTGGCGTTTTAATAAACGCTGTTGTAATTTTCCTTCGAGGATGGCATCCTATGAGAGAGATCTATATTGTCAACACTGGTCAGGATCCCATTTTTTAAACTACTTTGTATGTAATTGTTAGCCTAAGTCAGTATAATTTAATTACTTTCATATCTTTGTGTATTACCACCAGGAAATAATTCCTAAAATAACCTGACTCTAACTTTTCACAGGATTTCCTGTTTCCAGAGAGTGAGAAACATTCATGATTCCAAATATCTGAAACCACACTGGCCTATAATGTAGTAAGGAAATTATTAAGGTGGCAGCTGAAATGAAAATGCATTTTGAGTAGTACATACTCATGTTTATTTCCTTCAGATACTATGACCAGCTCCAGGCCATAGAGGACAAGCTACCAATTTCAGAAGGACATGTAAGAAAGAGCTTGCAGTATATGACATGTCAACTGAGAAGTCACTGACAACATCTCTGACCAGACAAGGACTCCAGTCCTAAAAAAAATGCAAGACAGAATCAGGCCAATTTTACTCATTCTCACAAAATTCTCTGAACTTCTCAAATGTTTGACAGAATTTGTACTTTTTTACAAAATTCTCAAAGTTTTCAAAAAATTTTCACATTTTTGCGGCTCAAAGATATGGTCCTCAGTATTTCTTCAGAGAAGTTGGAAGTGACTCAGCTCAGATATTTTAAAGATGCCTCCATCATTTTGATCCTGAAAGTAAAGCTGCATGATCACATTTTAAAGCCCACAGATAGGTAGGTCTTTTGAAAGACAGACCACACAGTGGTCTGGTGGCATGGGTGTGGAAAGGAATGTGTCGAAATAAGGACTAGGTTCGTGAGTTCTCTTTGGACACGGTTGACTAATTTCCCTTTGGACACAGTTGACTGATTCTGCAATGAAGGGGTATGGTGTTAACGTTTCCCCTTGGTAAGGCGTGATGTAGCCCATGCTGTCCCAATCTTTTCCTTAGTGTCCTCAAGTGTTTCCATCCAGGCACACAGTTTGGCTGTTTTGTTCAGATCACAAGCACTGTTGACTTCATTGCTCAGATAACTTCAGCCATGTTGTAGTGAAAGTAAGTTGGTTTTAATTCAGGAGATGTTTAGATCCCCCCCAAAAAATCATAGTTTTGACAGCCTGGCCTTGTGATTTTACTTGTTATCTGATTGGTCATTACCTTCTGTCTGTAAAGTTGTACGACAGCCTCTTACTACAGCTGTAGCTAGGCTGGCCCAGTAAAATCAGCAAATGTCCATAAAAGACTTCCATAAAAACCTTCCCCAGTCTTTGTTGTGTCGTGCCTAGTAGAATACATCAAAAGTATGCCGATCTTTCATTTCATCCATGGCACACCTAAGAAACTAGATTTTACTTGCATGCTTTGCCGGCAAGTATGTCATGGTGAATGGCATGTACTATGACAGACATTGGCAAACCATACCATAGTTGTGTTGGCCCAAGTACAGCACTATCCGCTCCGAGCGGAACAAAAGAGGGCATTTTTTTTTAGTACTCACCGCTTAGGCGCACGTTTATAATGGAGATCAGTGGCGTGTTCGATGTGGAGCATGCTGAGTACGCGTAACAAATTTATTTCTTTAATGTATGCTCTTTGCATACGCGCTTGGGAAACTTACTGCCATCTGTCTTTCTTTTGCCGCTTGGGGGTGCACTTCAACTCAGGGCGGATATTTGGGACTGTTCCCAACTTTTAGCACCAACGATGTGGTCAGGACCTAACAACACTACACCTTTGTCTTACCTTTGTTCCCATCCTGTCCATGTTTACAGGTCCATGATACACATCCCTAAACTTTCCCATAGTGGGGCTAACCCAACTGTATCCTGCACTGTAGTTGCTTCCTTCCCGGCTCCAGTATGGACAGATGCTGTAGTTGGAGTGTAACGATGGAGCATGTCTTACTCGCTCTCACAGGTTTTCTACGGATACTCCGCTTTCCTCCTGCCTCTAAAACTGGACCTTCTTCCTAACTCAGTAGGGACCCCATTGGAAACAAGTTGCAATCCCAGGGGCTATCCCTGGTATTACCTAATTGTGAGGTAATACCAAATAAATCCAGTCCATTCCAATTTTCTCATCTCTTTGATGTCAATGTTTGTACATGTAGGTCTCTATGACATTCACGTGGCAGGACGCCTTTGACAAGGGCTCTTTCTTTGGAGGAGGCCGAAAGCAGAGTAAGTGTCCGGTAGCAGTGGCCCACAAGCAGTTACTTTGCCAACGTCCATTACAGCCATTAGGGAAATTGTATTCATGTATTGTCCACAGGTTATTCTAGATTGTGGTCTCGCGGTCAGTGGTTTGGGACGTGTGATCAGAGGGTAAGGGGTTCGAATCCAGCTGCTAGTCATTACGCCGTGCCCTCGGGCAAGCGACATTACCCCCCCCCACTTGGCTCATTCCAAAAGGGAGCATAAAGTGGGTACTAGGAGAAACCCATGAATGACTGGCATTCCAGCTGAGAGAAAGAGAAATATTCTTAGACATTTCAGACTTTCAGAAACGGAGATAAGTGTCAGCCTGATGGGCCGTCTTGTGACAGACTTACAGGACTAAGTAGTGGAAATATTCAGTACCTTTTCATTTTTATTTTAGCTCCTACCTCAAGTAATAAAGATGTTTCCGTTCTGAAATTCAAAGATGTAAATGTATGTTTGAGTCATTACTCATTCAGGGTGCTTATATGTAGATAGGCATCAAATTCCCACCAACTTATCTCAGTTCAGGTACATAACTAGGAATATAAATGTTTTTTTCTTGGAAAATTTTGGTCGTTGTTTTATTGCTAGGTGGGTCCACTGGTAGCTATGAGAAGGTCTGTGTGTTGTTCAACATTGCTGCAATGAACAGCCAGATAGCAGCTCTGCAGACCTCGGACGATGACGAGGCACTCAAGACTGCAGCAAAGCAGTTCCAGGTATGATAGCTTTGTTTGTGTGTATTGATTCTACTTCTGGTGATCAGCCAAAGAAAGCAAGCAATGTTTCTTGGTCACAGCAGTACCGAACAACATTTATGAATGGGTTCGTTCAGAAAGATGTTAGTTTTGATGGTGTGTGAGACATACAGAGGCAAATTGTTAAGTGGTGACTAACTGATCTTGTCTGCATGATGTGAAAGTAAGATTTAATTGGTGGACGTGCAACACCGAGTAGGGCACTGCCCTTCAGAGGGCCAAGTTGATTGGAACAAAGCTCAACCCAAGCCAACCTTATCCCATTGAACCCAACCAAAACAAACCCAGTCAACCCAACTCAACTTTATTCCATTCAACCCAGCCAAAACCAACCCCAGTCAACCCAACCCAACTTTATCCCATTATACCCAGACAAAATAACTTCAGTCAACCCAACTCAACCTTATCTATGTCAACCCAACCCAACCTCATCTCAATCAACCCAGCCAAAACCGATACAACCCAATTCAATCCAACTTAACCCGATCCATGCACCGACCAACTAGCCAACCCAAAGTCTCACTACCAGTTCATAAGAATTCATCAGTAAGTCTTGCACAAAAGTGTTTCAAAACCTTTGCTTTTGACTTTTCAAAACCTAACGCTGTAGGTTTCTCAACCAGTTTTTTTTTCCGAGGTGATTATCCCTTGTGCATATTTTATGAACTTTTTAAGGCAAATCCGTATTGGAATATTGGATGTCCCCAGACACAATTTTTGAGAGTTTCATCATGTACACATCTTTTCACAAAATGTTTTCCCCAAATTTCTGACACGTTTCCCCAGCAAGCGGCTGGTATTTTTAACCATCTCAAAGAAACCGTGGTGTCAGCCGTCCAGAACATCCGCACCTTTGACATCCACCCTGACTGTCTGGCTGCACTGGGAGCGCTCATGTTGGCCCAGGGCCAAGAGAGCATCCTCAAGAAAGCTCAGCAAGGTCTGTTCCATTCAGTCATTTGGTCTCAGTTCTTGTGCCCTGGAAAAGTCTGGGGGAGGTGGAAAGTTGGTCCCCTCTTACCTTAACCCTAACCGCCTTGGCCCTTTGGGCGAGGATACACCCTCAATCCTTCAAACTCCTCCAACTGCCCCAATGAAAAACTTGGATACAGCCTCAGTCCTCCAAAATCCTCCAGCAATGCCAATACTTCTTGAATATGTTCTGTGGAGGGGTGCCCACTGCCTCAATCCTTCAAAATCCTCCAGCAATTCCTCTCATTATGTTGAGATAGTGTGGTATCCTGAAGCAGTATGGAGGATTTTACGCATAATGTGGGCATGAATTTATGCATGGGTGAACATAACACAAGGTCTAACCCGCAACCTTGACACAATGCAGCCTTCACCATCAGCAATGATATTTTGCCATGCAACCTAAATCCTCCAAAATCCTCCAAAACCGCCTGGGGGATTTTGAAGGATTGAGGATGGTTAGGTTTAAGGTTATTAAGTTGACTTCTACAAAGACCAAAATGGCAGCAACGTTGAGCAAGTTCAGTCTAGAACTGAAGTCGTCTATTTTTTTGCCAAGCTCTGATCGAGTGCTAAACAGTTGTAGTTGGACTAGTCTTGTCTGCTGCCTGGAATTAGTCTATTGAGGTTGGTTACACTGTGGGTTATGAGTACCTAAACATGTCACAGTGTGCAGAAGGTGCCAAGGTTTTGAGTTAACCAAGAGTGACGTTCAATGATATTTCAACTTGGGATGTTTTTGAGTCAACAAGGCTGTAGTTGAGTCTATCACTAGTGTAATCACAAGGCTGTTCATGAGTCCAGCCACACAAAGCCAGTCACATTCATTTTGGATAGTTTACAACTTAATAGCTCAGGACCAGACAAGTTGTGATGGACTCGACGAGTCATGCTGGTCCATGAGGGAACTTGTTCACTGTGGTGTTTCAAGATTTTTTTCTGTCTTCCCGTGTGCGTAGACAAGATGAAGCCTGCCATTGTCGCCAAGATTGCCATGACGGCGGCCGAGGAGTTCTCCGAGGCCTTGAAGCTATGCCAGGTGCAGCATGTCAAGGAGGTCCTCCCGAAGGAATGGATCCCCATTGTGGGCGGCAAACACGCCCACATGCAGGGCCTGGCCGAATTCCACCAGTCCCAGGTCTGCCAGGCCAGCAAGTGCTACGGAGAAGAGATCAGCAGGCTTAACGTGAGGCCAGAAATATGCTAAGCTTTGACAGTACATTGTAATTAACAACAGGTTACGGGCCAACGTATCATGTGATGTGTTTTACCTGTTACCAGCTGTTTTTGATAACGAAGTAAAGGTTTAGCAAACATTATCTACTACCCAGGGCAGAATTTCTTGTCGGGGCTTAGCACAAGACATGGCTGAGAATTTTTTTCTTCTTTAATTTTTTTCTTCATTTATATTTTGCTGAGCAAAAAAAAAAAACAACCGAGAAAAAGTCCAGACCAGTTCATACTTCAGCCAAATCAACATTGCAAAACATTCTCAGTGACATTCTCTTCACTTGACATATGGTCTGCTTTTGTGAATTTGCAGTGCAGATATTTGATCAGATGTCACATATTTGCAGTCTTGTTCACTTTCCTGCGAAGTATGAGCAGCCTCTACAGATGTTTATATCAAGTTAAATTTTTGGCTGATTGTGGATTGGTTTTTGGGGGGCTCCACAAACTTTGTTCCTTTCTCAGCAAATTTGTTACTTTACAGTTTTTCAAAATTTTGTTATCCTTTAAACATCACAAATGGTTAAATTTTACTTTATCATTTCTCCAGCATTCCTTGGAGCACCTACAGGCGGCTTCGCATCGCGGCGGGCAGCACGTCAACTTCAAGTCGACGACAGAGAAAGTCCAGCGTGCCCTTGCGGCGGCCAAGAAGGACAATGACTTCATCTACCACGACGTCATACCAGACGTGTCCAACCTCAAGCCCATCGGATCGGCCGTCATTGCCAAGCCGCTGGAAATCCCCAAGCCCATGAATCCGAAGTTTACAGGTCAGTCCGCACCTGCAAAGAAAGACACCACCTGGCTGCATTAGTAATAGTAATAAATAGTTCTTATAAAGCGCATAATACTATAAAGTCTCTATTCAATGTATTATTATCCCTGCTCGGTGGGCTCACAACAACTGAACATTCCTGAAACCATCTCAACTCCCTGGGGAGTATTCTAGCCAGATGCAGCCATATCAGGCACAAACGGCTACACATAGCCATATCTGCCCTCACGGGTACCCATTTTCTCCTAGGTGGAAAGAGGCACAGAGATATAAAGTGACTTACCTGAGATCACAACATGCTGCCTTAAGCTGGATTCGAACCCTATGATCCGAAGCTACAAACCTCAGCCACTAGGCCACATGCCCCCATAGAAGATTTTTTGGCAGCATGCTTGAGACATTTCAGGCTTGAGAAAGTGCTGATAGCTGTAGTCTGGGCATCTTGTGTTGCCAGTAACACTGGCCTACAGCCAGAATGCTTCTAAAATAAATGAAGTCAAACCTGGCATATTCTGGATCACTGAAAATGACATTGATGCTTAAAATTGTTGATTGGCTCCAGATTTTTTCAGTACCTACATGTACATGTGTACACGTATAGGAAAGACCTAGGTTCACAATTCACGATTCATAAATACCTCAGCTTCCCTATTCAACAGCATGCAACTTGACCGTGTATTAACATTTGATAATGCCAGCTGAGATGTGATAATGCCTGCTGTGTGAAAAACACGCTGTTATCTGGATCTGGATGCGAGACAGTTGAATCCATTCTGATCGGTCAAGAGTCTGTGTGCACGCGGCTCACCATGCGCGCCAAGTCCATGTAAGGAGATGCTTTTGGACTGCTTGCTCAAGGAATATACCATAAAATAGAGAAGCAAACAATTTTTTTTTAATTGACCAGTGTAATCATTGTTGCTCTATACGTGTACAACACTCCATGTCTCGTTTCCCCCCCCCCGGCACACAGACTTGTTTGAGAAGTTGGTTCCCCTGGCCGTGCACAATGCATTGGACGCTTACGAGGCCAGGAAGGTGGAGATCGTCAGCAGGGAAGTGGGCAAGCTGCGGGAACAGACACAGCTCCTCAACAGGTAGCGTTGACGGCCAGCCTGGAGACTTTCCATCCCTCAGCTGCAATTCTCACCTTTGACTCAGGCTTAAGTATTCATGCATATGGTGCCTCAGATGAGACCTTCATCTCAGTGTGGCTACATCAGCAGCAAATGGGATCAGGTTCATTAAAATGAGTCTCAAGGCTGTAGTTTTGTTTTTAGTTTCTTTGGAAAAAGTAAATTGAGTTCTGTGTTGCTGATGTGTCACTGAGTTTGGCATAGTGATGAAACTAAACATGCATATGAAAAATGTTGAGCGTTCCTACCACTTTACATTGTACAAGATTCTTGAAAAGTTCTGTAACTGAAAGAGGTTCTAATGTGATGCCAGCATTCGACCAACCTTTGGTTCCCACAGAACATGTCTGGGAATAGTTCTTGAACCTTAAAATGCATCTGAAGCTTGAGACAGCATTTGAAGATAAGGTTTCGTTTCTGTTGGCTTGCTTTATATCTAAGCTTCATAGTCCTTGCATTTCTCTTGCACAGTGTTATCTCATGACATTTTCATTTGGAGTGTTTGTTCTGATATCTCTTTCTACCAATTTTGCAGTGTCCTAGCATCGCTGAACCTACCCGCTGCGATAGAGGACATGGGAGGGTCGAGCATACCGCCCTCGTTGTTGCAGAAGTCCAATGCGGTGCGTGAGAAAGGTGGAATCCAGAGCATTGACAAGCTGTTTCATGAAATGCCGGACCTGCTGAAGAGGAACACAGAGATTCTGAACGAGGTAATGAACTCTGACCCTCGCAGATCCTTTGAAATCCACCTGGACATTTGAGAGGATTTTGAAGGATTGAGGAAGATGGAATGCAGTCTCTATTACTTTGCATGTTGAGAAGTCTAGTCCAACGCTCAGCGGCATGCAGAATGAAGAATCGCTTTTCATCAGAATGTGTACAAAGCGACAGTGAGATACTTGACAAAATTGGTTTTTATGTACATACACGGTTGTTTCATGCACATTCTGACGAAAATGTTGTGCATATTGTGCAAACAAGATCAACTGTCCAGAACAGTCCCCACCTGAAAGTAGTTGATCAGTGATCGCATAATTATTTTAAAGCCCAATAGCAAAGTGATACTTTGTGTGAGTACTGCTTACTTTAATCATCATCACCTAATGAATGCGTAGGACAAGTTTTGAATTCAAGAGTGAAATTTGGTTTCTTCTTTAAATGTGGTTTCAGTCAATACGCCTCCTTGACGACGAAGGCAAAACAGACAAGGAGATGAAAGAGCGCTTCAAGGAGCGCTGGACCCGCCTCCCATCAGATCAGCTAACCACGCCCTTACGAGCGGAGGCGTCAAAGTACCGGACAATCCTGAACAACGCTATCCAGGCGGACAGTATCGTGCGAGAAAAGTACGAGGCCAACCGGGAATTCATTAGCATCCTGTCTAAGTCACCGGTAAGAAAAATAATAAGTTTTCTTTTATCAACCGATATTTTGTGTCGTCGATTTAAAAAAGTCGGAAAAGCCAAGCCGTTTAGTGTGCGGAAAATCTGACTTAATTATATTTACTCATTGTATCTTTGTTAAGTGTATTTGGTAAATAAACCCAGGATACCTCAAAAGCACCCTTTGCACTGTAGCTTGCAAACCTGAAGAAACCTGTGGAGAGGAGACAGTGAGAAGCAGTGACAGTTTTAGAGGTGGGAGGCAAACCCCAGAGGAATATTCTGGGCAAAACCTACAGAATCAGGAAGGGACTGAAAACCCAATCCACATGTGGACCGAGCCGGGAAATGAACCCAGACCGCAAAGATGAAAATATGGCATGGAAACATACTCTGCCAACCTGGCTACTCCTGTATTTTGAGGGGTGTCTTGATTTGTTTGTTTTGTTTTGGATTATGTTGTTTTCTTACCTCTTTCTGCGGTTTTCAGAGCTTGTGTTTCAAGAAGAAGTTGAGGAAACTTATTTTGATGTTTTGTCTGAAGTACAAGTATATAATTGCAAACATGAGTGTTTGCAGTGACTTTAGCTCGAATTGAAGCCTGGACTACTCCTAGAGCATGTGGGTTCTACAAAGTTCACAATTGGTTGTATTGTTTATGATGCATGCAGAATGAGATGGGATCCGACCTGCCTGCCACCAGCGCTGCCGCAGCCCTCAAGGACAGCCCGGAGGTCCGAAAGTTGCGCGATCTCATGAAACAAGTGGAGGCCATCAAAACAGAGCGCGAGGTCAACGAGGCCGAAATCAAGAATACCAAGAGTGACATGTGTGAGTCGGGAATTTTCATGTTTATGTTCAATCCAAGATATAGAAATTATGGATATGCACGGTGCATCAATTTCTGTACAAATTGCACAAATTTCTTTTGTCCAAGTTCCTACCACTAAAAATGAAGGAAGCTGTTCCGAACCTTTGCCAGATCGGAATTTGTTCTTCTTTGTTTATGCCGACTTCTTGGAGGGATATGGCCTAGTGGTAAGGGTTCATGACTCATCATCAGAGGGTCCGGGATTCCAATCCAACTTCTGGCCATAAAGTCGTGGCATTGGGCAAGTCACTTCACCCCTGCTTGCTGCTCTTCGCCTAGGAATATGAATGGGTTCAGGGACTTAGATCATTTCATAAGGGGCACCAAACTGAACGAAAGCGAAACTGCGGTTTCAGATCAAATATTCGCATTGCCAATTTGTACCAGTCAAAAACATTTCAACTCGAGCGAAATTTTGCTGCAGTTTTTGTGATGTCGAATTCGCCTGAAGTATGAACCAGCCTTTAGTTGGGGAGTATCCTCTGATGGACTCAACCCATCGGGGGGTATTCTCATTCAGTTCTGATCAAGGCAACTGGAGTGAACACCAGCCTGGTGAGCTGCTGTGGTTCGGGACAGACTTGCCTCATGCCAATTTCATATCTGTTGGTTGCTCTCATCTCCACAGCACAAAAGTTCCTGAGTGCCTTGGCAGCCGACGGGGCCATCAATGAGGAAGACATCTCCAACCAGGAACTGGACCGGATCTTCTCCCCCCTGATCAAGCAGGTCCAAGACAGCATCCACCGGCAGGAGATACTGCTGAACAATGTCCAGGTAAGATCCAAAAATTGGTGCGCATTTTTTCGGATGCTAGATGCTTGCGCAAACAGTCTCCCATGAATTAGTGCACTTTCTGCACATGTGGGGCACACATACCAGTGTTCCAGGGTTCTTATGCTGAGGCCATCTTCACTCCAATTTTATGAAAAATCAAACATGCCCTTCTTTCAAAATGTTCCAAGACCAGTCAATCAAAAGATGCTCTTTTTCCATTGACTTGTGCTCAATGCATGAATTGACACGGGGTAAAGTGCAAAGCGTATTTGACCATATCAACAAATCTCTCCTTCAACTTGATTTGAAGCTTGACAGATACACTTAAAACGGATTTTCTTACGTGCTCACCAACTTTCGGCAGAGATATTCATGTGTCTCTTTCGCCAGAGCTTTGAAGAGTTAAAACAAGTGGCCCTTTCTTCAGAGTGATGTCTGAAGCATCTTTTTTTCCACACATTCCTTCTCAGGATGCCAACACCAAATTTTGCCAGGCGAAGCAGTCAGACACCTCGGCCAGCAATCGTGAGGACGTCTTGCGCAAGCTGGCAGCTGCCCATGACGCCTACATGGAGCTCACTGCCAACCTGACAGAGGGCACGAAGGTTAGAAAAGAGACCATGTGCAAATTTAAGATGAATTTGTGGCTTGTCAAACTGCTACGGGGGATGTCCAGTGTTGTGTTCGAGTCACCACAAGCTGTCCAGTCTTAAGCGAAGTCTCTTGTGGAAAACGTATTCCTTTATTATTGCTCATCCTGTTACTAGTATTGACTTGTTGCAAACATGGCTGACAACAAGAGGTCGTGCCAAAACAGCTTCTCTATTTCTCTGGTTAGTTTGAATGCGGGCTGATTAAACAGAAGAAACAAAAACATGTCCTATACAATGGAAGTCAAAATGCTCGCATTTGAGATTGGAGTTCATCCTCATGCTTGTGTTGTGTTGCTGTCTCATGTCTAAAAATAGCGCCCTCAGTTGGTCAACATTAAGCACGTCTATTCGTATAGCTGTATATAATAGGAGCGCAACGGTGGCAGAACAATTTTTAAAGTGGGGGGGGGGAGTTGAGACCATCAGGCATCAGACGTGAACTGACCTCCGTAGCCTTTTTGCTAGACACCGTCCTCCATCCTTCAAAATCTTCAAATTATCCATGCGAAAAATTGCAGTTATCGTCAATCCTAAAATCCTCCAACATTTCTTAAATATGCTCATTTGTTGGGTGCCCACCACCTCAATCCTTCAAAATCCTCCAGCAATTCCTGTCATTATGTTGATGCAGTGCAAATGGTATCTCAGGGCAGTATGGAGGATTTCATGTATAATGTAGGTATGAATCTATGCGTGGGTGAACATAAACAATACAAGGTCTAGCCCACACCCTTGAGACAATGCATCCTTTGCAATCAGTCCCACAATTTAGTCATTCTTCCTCAATCCTCCAAAACCAACCAGAGGGTTTGGAGGATTGAGGAGGGTTGGGGTTAATAGGTCGAACCGTAAAGCCTCGTCCCATTATGGAACGTACACCTCTGCCCGCCAGTGCAAGAGAAGTTTGTACCCATACTGATGGAAATTTCTGTGCTTGCCTCCGCACACTCGCAGTTCTACAACGACCTGACCCAGCTGCTGGTGCGTTTCCAAGGCAAGGTCACTGACCTCTGCTTTGCCCGGAAGACGGAGAAGGAGGAGTTGCTACGTGACTTGACCCAGAGCATCGCCAACCAGCCTAGCTCCCCGCCCCCTGTCACCCCGGCCCACCACGCCCAAGGTGAGGAAAGTTCGGTTGAGAATTGATGGCACAGTGTGACCTGTGACCTGGGCTTGATTCCCGGCCCCAGGCCACGTGTGAGTGGAATTGTTAGTTGGTTCTTCCTTGTACTAGGAGAGTTTTCCTTCGGGTTTTTCCAGCATTCCTGCCTCTGTTGAAAAGTTAACATTTTATGATTTGTTGTCGTGCTCCATTATTATATATGGGTTGTGTGCTACAAAGGCACACTTATATGCCTTCAACTCGACGTTGTAGCTGCGTCCTTTGTAGTTCAGCCACATGGCTGGGAATTACGATTAGCCCCCAGTAAATAACCAAATAAAATAACATGTAAGAAGGTGTTGCAGCCCTGCTAGAATCAGTCGGCTGGGGATTGGAGTTACACATAAACCAATAGGAAGTGGCAAGCGACTGTCGGTACAGTGGCTTCCCATAGGTGTAATGTGTTATTTCCCAGTTACAACTTTTGGACCCCGGTTGCGTGTGGTAACTGTAGATAATTCCAGTAACCACGATAATGCCATCACTGGTTATTCACAGTGGCCCCCTTTAATGGCAGTAAGCACTGGGACAATCATTTTATGGAGCCACTGTTCCGTGACAGTTGCTCTGTCACAAAACCCAACACAATGCTTACCGCCATTCAAACAGGGTCCTAGACGGAAGCCATTTCTTAAACCTTAACTCCGGCTTGGGCCCAGTCTCCTGTCCCCTGAAACTGTCCTGAGTTCTCAAAGGGAAACACTCCAAATTTGAGCTTGATATTAAAGGAGCTCAAGGCAAGAAAACCAGGAGAGGGCGCTCTGTGGGAAACACATGGTGATAGATGTCGGGAGTTGATGCCATTTTACTGTGACCTCACCGAGTTTCAGCCAGCCACCAGATCGCGTCCATTGTGTCTCTGTGCTCTGAACAGCAACAAGAACAGCAAACTGATTTTTGGTTTATGCTACATGGATTCACTGTGCATTACATTTCTAGCTCGTGGGCTGCCTGCATGCTTGTTTCATTTTTGAGGTCCACTTCTAAATAAAATTAGTCTGCATGTAAGCACTCCTTTATTGTTTTAGCATGAGTTTGCATTCGGAGGCTATGCTAATTTAGCAACTATTATTACGAACAGAGAAGAGTACTTTTGTTAAAAACACAGCCAACACCCAAATTGCATTTGGCACCGTCTATAAATGGATGTGTTTTTTTTTCCCCATCATGTACTGTGAGTGAAGCAGTAATTGCTCCCTGCCTATCAGCTCTTCTGCGCTGCACTTTGCTTGAATTGTTTAATGGCTGGGGATGTTGTGCAGACATCTGGCCAGTGTAAATGCATTGATTAAGCTGCCCTAGATGAATAACAGCATGGCTGTTTTGTTTTTTGGCACGGCACTGTTATTTACATGATCCTTGTAAAAAAAAATGGCTGGATGATATGGTGTTCTCAAAACAGCGTGCCTCTTTAAAATGAAATCCGTGAGGTGGTCTTTCAGTCCCCTTCAACAAACTTGCAGAAATTACCCCTTGATAGACTTTTTCTCCTTGAAACCTGCCAACGTTTCTTAATAACAGCTCCACCCACAGGTTTCATTGTTTTGATTGACCAAGAGCACATCATATTGTATTCACTTATTTTCCAAATTTTGGCATGCAAAAAATACTATCCTGCAGCTTCTTGATGTGAAAGTATTGTGCTGTGAGCAACCGGCATTCTGCATGAGAAACTACACACATGTTTGTGGTACTGGTACGTTGTGTCCAGAGTTGGAATAGGGGAAACATTTTCACCGAGGGAAAATTTGAAAAGTGACTTTTCAGTTCATGTCAAATTGAAGCAGAAGTACTTTTGTCTGCTGTTGTTAAGATAATGTTACATTTCGAAAACTCTGCAGAATCTGTGTTTTAAAAGAAAAACTTGGCTGCTTTATCACAAATGCTGATAAACTAGTCCCTCTTGATGATCCATTTTCCCTTCATGTCGGGGAAAAATTAAATGCATGCCTTAGGAAGCTAGTTTCACCCTATCACTTGAGGCAGTCAACATGTGTCTGCCGCTCCCTAGAGTCAATTACTGTTGAAGGCGATTGCTTCCCCTAACGTTTGTCTTGTCATCACACTTCCTTCCCAGACATCCGAGTCGATTTCTTGTCAGTCCATGTCATATCCTTGAGTGTCAATTAAGTCACCAGGAAGAACATGGGGCTCAGTCATTCACATCTGTCTAACATCTCAATCAAACACTTTTGTGTTTCAGTTTTGTTCCCAAAGATGAATATGCCCATTGCCATGGAATTCTGCTAGAAACATCAAAATTCTGAGAGTTAAAACCTTAACAGGACTAACCTGTGAAGTTTCAGAAAGCCAGATGCTTTCCTAGCTATTGCTGAAGGAGTATCTTTAGAAAAAATGAAATCTTATGCTTCTCTTCAACTTCAGTTAGTTTTTTAAGGTGCTGTGTCTTCAGTTTTTATGTTCTTAGGATAGTAATTCATAACATTTGGCTTTTTTATGACAAAGTGTCCCCTTTTCAGACCTGCAGAGCCCAGCTGTGTAGAACTGCTTGGTTAAAAAAATCTGCTTGGCAAAAAAGAAGCTGAGAGCCAGTCGCAAGACGTGTTCACTGCATGGCTTTTTGGCTGGTAACCTGCAGTTGCTGAGCAAGTATTTATTTGCTTAGCACATTTCTGCACATAGCTGTCGGCGAAAATTGACCTTCATATAGGCTTTGTTCTTCACTGTCAAGCTCTCCTCCTCAATCCATGCTAAGTGCCTTTTCAGAGTTCATGGGGAGAAACAAAATGACAGGCTTCCTCTGGCGGGACTCAAGCCTGCAACCTCCTACCCAGTGGTGCAAATTATCTTACCACGCAACCATGGAACTGGCAAAGGTCACATGGCAGGATAAACGTGTATATCCAGTTCTTAATTTGGAACAGGCTGATGTGATGATGCTGCCCCACTTTGTGTGAGCAAAGGCCTGTCTGTACTGATAAACAAACGACAGCTCCACTTTGGATTCCTCTAGCACTGACTGAAATTTCCCATTGCTCTTCTTGAAACCCTGCTAACCACCTCCCACAAGAGTTGTACCTGACCTTGTCACACCCTTCGGCATCCCAAGCTTTCCCTGCAGTCGATTCTTTCGTTCTAATCCCCGCCGTTCCTCTGTCTTAAATGCATGTCCAACCAGCAGTTTCCGGCACAACTGAGAGCGGGGGACCAGGCTCCTCTGCCGCACCTGGCCAACCAGGTAGATAAAAGTCAAAGATCATCCACCGTCACTGCTCTCAATCATGCCTATAGAGTCAGGTCGGTTTTTTTTTTCTGTCTGTACTAGTTAGCCTCGTCACCTTTGCCTCTGGCCTAATCATTTCACTAACATCATTGGTCGTTTGATGGTACATGTACATCGATTTGTGTATGGGCCTTGTGTCGTGTGTTGTATGCACCATCAAGGAAGTTAACCCGTTGACACCGGGACTTTTTTCTGAAAGGCGACTCAGAGAATTCCAGCCTCGCTTGGCCATGAAGGCCACCCGCCAAACCACAAATTCTCGGTTTATGGCCCTCCGTGCTCTGCACGCTTTGATTTACACAGTGAAAAGGCTCATTGTTTGGTGGCATGCGGCTCTACTCAAGCTTCCACATTCCCGTTGCCTCTTTTCAAAGCGGGGACTGTTGTGAAGCTGGTGATTATGATGCAAATTGGACCTTTTCATTTCTTGGCAACACACAAAGGCCAATCACCATGTATACAAGAGCCAGGGTATGCTTTCTTTCACCGTGTTCGCTCGAGCGTGGGCCGAGAATAATAGCTGAAAAGCGGGCTGAGGGATCTCAATTTTTACGGCGACTCTTACCGCTTCCCGGCGTGAAAGGGTTAGAACCTTTCATAAATGAACTCCTCTGGTTGTTAATGAACCAATTTCACAGATTGTCCATGTTTTCAATCTAAGTGTCACTGGGTGTGGGTGATGGTAATGAAATGTCTCCAGATCTTCATTTTTATGTCCATTTGCCAGAGTTGTAAGTCAAGTCTGCCATGGATGAATCACATTAGACCAACCGGTACAATGACATCACGGTTTTGATTACAAGTACGTTTTCCTACGGCAGTGAGGTGGGACAGGATCAATGGATCCACGTAGGAAAGCAAAGATGTAAACAGAGCGTGACGTCATTATGTTTCAAATCTATTCATTCATAAGTCTGGGTCGAGAAAAACTAGAATGAACTGTGATTATTGAATGCCATTATCACCCTTCGTTTAAATAATTTGCCACTTGACTTGTGACTGACTTGCGGATACATGACCTCGTGACCACAGTTTGTTGACGTCCGTGTAACAGGTTGCATTGGGCCATAAGTAAGGTCCTTGCATAAGGTTTGTTGGTCCTGGACCATGCCAGTTTTGACAGCTTTGCCCTCAAGATTTGGGCCATGTTGGGATTCCTCTTATTTACAAAATATATGAGAGTTAAGAAATCATTAACAAAACAGTTAAGCTGAAGTTACAAGTCAGTTGCCTACTGCAGGAATCTGCTCATCTGGGCCGGCATGTGCATTAAAAAGAAATCCCACCGAATTTTTGTGTTCGTGTAAATATAAAGTACTTTCCTCGTGCATTAATAAAGCTTTGGATTGGCATAACAACTACAAACTTTATGTAAATTGCAACCTCTGGCACAGCCTATAGATTGTATTGCATGAATAATAAGTATTGCCCTTCACCGTTGGGCACTCCTGGCTCTTTTCCCCAAATGGTGGCTTTAGAACTGTTTTTTTATTTTTCTCTCAGTTGGAACAATTTTCTTTTAGATTTCATCCTTTTGAAAGACTTGTGACACATTCTGGTTTGTAGGTCACTATAAATAAGACCTCAGGCAGCGCATGGCAGAAGTACTAAATGTGAGAAGGTTTGCTGTAACACCGTGTGAGCAATTCTCTTCTCTCATTGTGTGTGATTTTCACTCAGTGGTTGGAACAGTGTGCTAAGATCATCCTATGGAGAAAGTGAAGAGAAAGTACACAGTGTAATCGTGAAGTGAAACTTTTGGGAACCGCATGTTCTCACAAAAGAGACTTGCTCACACCTTGTCACCGCAAACCTCCTCATATGTAGGTCACTATAATGTGATACCTTTGTTATATGTAATGAACAACTTCACACAATATATCTGAGGACCGTGCCAATTAACTACAAAAAATTTCAAGTCAGAAGAATGCAATTGTAAACAGACACTCAACAGCAAATGGTTCTGTGTATTGAATTTGCCTCTAACAGCCATTTGCATATTTACCGCACATTTCACCACAGTTTCTGCTGAGAGTCATACAGAGGGAGCTAAAACTCAAAAAGCCTGGAACATTCCAAAGGGAAGACTTCCTCTTCTAAACTTATCTGGAACACCGAGTCCTTCTTTTGGGAACAGCCCAGGGACATGAGTTTCTCCCATCTGGGAATTTGTGTCTAAATAAGAATGTGTGCCTATATATGGAAACATGTGTCTCTATCTGGGAACTTGTACCAATTTGGGAACGTGAAAACTTGCACCTGGGCTATGTGGCTAAGTGTGCGCATGTATAACACATTACCACTTGAGAATAAGCAAGGAACACTGCATTCCTACCTGGAGTAGACCATGTTCATCAAGGACCACTGAGAAAAGAACAGGAATTTCATATTTCAAGATGCTCCCTGAATTCTTTTACATATTCATAACAAATGATGTTAATCGTACCTTCCCATTGGTGAATTTCCCCTGCCGTAATAACCAGGTCATTTGCATCTGATGTTTTACAGTGGGGTGGGTAGCGTATTTTCTGGCAACAACCTCCGGGAAATAATTTGTTAGTGTTCTTTGGTGAAGCCTTGGCAAAGCACACATTATGTTCGGCACTAACAACCAATCTTATGTGACTACCACTGCATGCATGTTACCCAAGTTCAACTAGGAGTTTCATCGTTGTTCCTTGGTTCAAATTTTTTTTTTTTTTTTAATTCTTAATAAATTTTCAAAGGTTGAAGGTGAATCCTGCCATCGGCAAATGGAAAAGCAAACTAAATTCCATGATGCCATAAGGGTTGTTCCACATTGCCTCTGTTTATTTTGAAATGTAACCTGGCCTTTACTCTCACGAGGGAACTGCATCTTCCACCTCAATTTGTTGCCTAGCTACTCAGTTTTGGGGGTTTTTTCTCTGCTGTTGCTGACCTTTTGTTGCTTTCATGTTAAGACTTTAATTTATGCAATATAAGTTGGTGGGCTTTCAGAATCTTTAAATACTGCCTTGTACCCAAACCTTTGAATTCATCTCATTGAAGACTGCATACGAAAATGTTACCCAGTTTTGTATTTGTAACTCCTCAAAGGGACTTTTCATTCCATTACGCTGGATACTTTACTTTTCTGCCTGTATCAGTAAAGGTTTAATGTGTCATTGCAGTATCAGCAGTTGAGCTGGCACTCATTCTTTAAAGATCTCACCTGGTTGAATCCACATTGTGCGATGACAGTCTAAGTAAATATTCCTCAATACTGCAACCGTGTCCTTGTAGATTTGATTTTTTTTGGAGTTTGGGTTATTACATGGATGTTACCAAAGATGTAATGATGAGGTTCTTTGGTTTTTACTTTCAGAATCATCCAGGGCACAGCCACCTCCTCGCCCAAGCCAACCGCCCTCCCGGCCACAAGCCCCGCCTGTAACCCAAGAAGCACCCCCAGCTCAAGCCCCTCAACCCACCCCTCCCTCCCAGCCCTATCCCCAAGGTGCGCCGCTGCCCAGCCATGCTTCTGGCTACCAACCCATGCCTAGCTATGCCCCCTATGGCGGGTTCACCCCCATGCCAACCCCCTACAACCCCTACGCGACCCCCGGCTATCCCCAGCAGCCGGCGACACAGTATGGCAACCGATATCAACAACCACAGCAGCAGCCTGGGCAGTATCCACAATATCCACAAGGTGGTGGATATCCGCAGCCATCCGCTCCAGGCTACAATCCGTACCAGCAACACTGAAGGTACAGGTAGCACCAAACACACATACCCGATTGATTCTCACAAAATGAGTCTTAAGTTTCTCATAGTTTTCACCTACATGTACATGTATTTCTGAACTGAAGCAGGAGGAACTTTCTAAGCGATTGACTTTATACCAAATCAGTTTGACATCTAAACTAATGCATACACTATTGGGTGAGCGTATTGATGGTTCCTATCGAATTCCATTGTACAAATATTTGTCAAAAAGACTGTTTCTTCCCAAAAGTAGGTCCAGAGACTTATGACTCATTTTGTTATGTTGCATCACACATAGTTGATTTCCGGTGACATGCAGGCCAGGAGGAAAGTGCTTTCCCTAGCTCCAGAATTACACCTCTCAACACCCTGAAGTATCAAAGTGCCCGAAAACTTCTTTTAGAAACCCCTGCATTCCTTCATGAAATTGTTTACGGCATTTGGCAATCACTGTTGATTGCTCAATATATATGATGTAGTTAATTTTTTCGTTGAATGGGGGTTATAGTCTCATTGTAGACAGTGACTAACTTTTTCAGTTGATAAATCAATCCAAGATAGAAGATGCCTGATGTAAACATGGATTTCAAGAGATCGCATGTTCAAATTGGTAATTGATTGTTCTTGCTGCTCGTTCTGTGTTTAAGTGACGTTGTTTAACTGTATTGAAGATCTGGATCCGTAGCCTTGCTGCATTCTAGTTTTGTGTAGCTGTTGTTTCCAAGACCTCTTCGTCAAAATGCTTTGTACTTGATAAAGAAAGGTCACATTGTGCAACTTTGTACAATTCAAAAATGTCACTTGCAGGCACAATTGCAATGGTACAGTTTTTTAAATTCACAGATAGGTCATTCTTTAATGTTTGGGTCCAGTTTTTTTCCCTGTTCCTGTTACATCCGAAATGTGATTTTGTACGTTGAGAGCACATTCATTAATTTCTAAGGTTGATTAAGTAATGCAAATTACCAACCAAACCAATAAAAATGGTTGGATATCGATTTCATTGGTATCCTTTTAGCAAATTACACAGGTCAGGTGTAGTAAGGATGGGAAGATATGTCACACATCAGACCCCCGATAATTTGTAGAATGGCCCAGATGGATAATCCTTCCATTTTCGTGCCCAGTTGGCAGCATAATGGATGCCAGTTCCAAATACAAGAGTGTTGAAAAACAAATATACAGATTTTTAGTATCTGACTAGCAGCAAAGTTGTGTGCTTGTCAAAGGTTTTTAAAAATTACAACTTTGATTGCGTACATCTCACTGAATATTTTCTAAAAGTGTAAATTGCAAATTGGAGTGGCACAATGATGTAAGCTTGATGCAAAGTTTAGTATTAAGTGTCAATTATTGTCTCTGTTGTTGACACTCATAATCTACATTTTTCACGGTCTCAAATTTTTTTGTTCCAGATTTCAATGTCCAGCACATTCTAGATTTTGTTAATTCTTATTGATATTAAAGCAAGGCGAGCATCAGGTAAAATGATTTGAGTCTTATTAACCCTAAAAAACCCAAAAGTGTGTGAATAAAATTGGTAAAATTGGAGGAGTTGGGGCCATTCAGGCTATCAATTGACGATAAGTTGACAAAATAGAGTATGGAAATTAATAGAATAATTTTCGTGTTAGTTAAAGGTTGCAAGAGTATTTTTCGAGTAAAGTCATCAGACCTCAAGTCTGTAAACTGACTGCTGTGTAGAGTCCCTCAGAAACCAACAATTTCTAATTGGCTGATTTCAAGTGATTTCAACGGAGCAGTGAATGACAGATGCTTCTTTTCATGCTGTTGTACAATCCTGACATTTTTTACTGAAACTCAGTGTTTTTTCCAAATCTAGGACTTCTCTCATTCAGGAACCCTAAAAATTAATGCAGTCAGCAAAATAAAGTTTATTTACCTTGAAGAATTCCATCTCTCCAGCTGTTTTTGTCTTTGACACAAAAGACTCGTTTAATATATACCCGTATATTTGGGAAAAAAAGATATCAGTTTAAATTTCAGTTAAAGTGGGTCAACAGGTTGTGTCAATTCCCCACGTTGCACTCGTCACTGAAGCAAGTCAGTGTTCCAAGGAAGGGAAGGCAGTTTTGTGTGTGTGAATCTGTCCAATGCCCCTAGTAGGGTGACTCATCCACCGTTGATAGTTCCTACAGCTAAATCCCCTCACGTTCCTGCAACAGGCTCTCTAATGATAGAAGGCATGTGTTATATGTACTGCACAAGTTGGCACTGAGCCAAATTCTAGTAGTTCCGACAACAACACTCCAGCATGCCGTGACTCTGTAAAGGGATGTTTCCGTTACAATGCAAATTCGTCCTCCATAAACATTTA